GAACAGAATTCCAAACTTATAGCTGAGATTGCCAAGCTTAGAAAGGAGAATGCGAAGCTGAAGCAGATTATTGAGGAGAATGAAAAGCGCGATGTTAGAGTCGAGGAATTAGAGCAAAAGAATATAGAGCTTGAGACCAGACTCGCTATATTAGAACAGGAAAAAAGTATTTCTACGGAAGATATTTCGCACTCTCCAGTAAATTCTAACGATACTCCTAAACAGATAGTGCCACAATGTGATGAGTCAGAGACTCGTGGTTATACCACTGATACCCTGATATCTGATATAACTGATAATACTTTAAATTCTAACGATACTCATGAACAGATAGTCTCACATAATGAGGAGTCTAACATATCTAGCCACGAAGTGACTGCCTCCGGCAATTCCGATACACAACAGGAATTAGAGACCTCAACATCTCCTATCCCTGCGGAAACCATATCATTGGAAGAGAAAGAAGAAAATGAATTCCTGGATTCAACGTATAAGGAACAGGTTAGTAAAGAGATAATTCAGAGCATAAGGGAAAAGAAATTTCGAGATCAAAACTTATCTTCGGATAACTCGTCAAAACCATCCAATTCATCACGTGATATAAAAACCGTTTCCTCGGGGAACGATCAAGTTTCAAATTCATCATGTGAAACAAAAACCATTAGTTCGGGAAATGATCAAACTGAAATATCTGAATTGGAGCAAGATGATGGGACTGATAAAAATCAAATTGTAGAGCAGGGCTTAATAGAAGAATTGGGTATATCTACTGAGAAGCAAGGCCTCATGATACTTGGATCGCCCTTTGGGCCTGATTCTGCAATAGATAATACTAGCTCTACTGAAATTAATACATCAGAGAATAAATGTTCAGCTCAACATCTATCTTATTTATTTAAAACAGCAATCAAATCTCGTCAAGAAGAAATCATAAACTGGTATTATTATTCTCTTGAATTCGAAAACAAGATTCATACTATTACAGCTGATGGTAAGATCAAAGACAAAACAGCAAGAACGATGATTTATAAAGAAATGAAACCGTTTCTTCCTAATATTACTCAAGATAACTTGCGTAAAAAAACTCTTAGAGCTAGAAAACTTCTTATGCTATTTGGGAAAAATGGAGTTGGAATGGATAAAATTAAGTTAACCACATATAGTGCAAATGAGATTTCAAAATTGACTAATACACAAATTCAGAATATTATAGATCAAGTGAAATTAAAAACCGTTCCCTTGGGGAACGATCAAACCAAGAAAACTTTACCGGAAACTAAGATCCCATCCATGCCTCAGGTAAATATACAAACTCATACCCGTGCTTATTTTCGTAACAAATTATTGGAGCAGTATCCCAATTTATATAAAGAATATAGTGATGGAAATGATGATTATTATGGTATTAATGCTGAATCATTATGCCCTTTATGTAAGTTAGAGCATGAGAACGAAGAAGGTATAGAAGGCGAATATAATGATGGATCTTACTATATTAAATGTGAAGTATCTGAAATTGGTATTGACATACCAGCTCATGCCGAAATAAATGTATAGCCACCATGTGTCTGTCTTCGGCGATTTTATCTGTTTAACGCTTTCTTATTACTATACTTGAATAGTATATTTAATACACGAAAGATATTTTTTTGGCTGTTCCGGCTTCGCTGATACGTAAGTGATACCCGATACAAGAAATTAAATTGCTTTGAAATTATATAAATGACAAAATGGATACGCAAGCCAGGTCTGATAAAGCATTAACCCCCGAATATCTGGATTGGTATTCCAAAATAAACTGATCTGCCAACCACTGTATCTGATAAACTTCGTTCCAAGTTATATAATAGGTATAAGAAAAAAACTGGGCTTGATCCCTGGATAAATTCCAAACCTTCTGAATCCTCACAAATCGAAAATGCTGATAATTACCTTTCACACGATTGTGTTATCAAAATTTCCAAGTTTCTGGAAGAGAAAGGTATAATCCATGAAACAGTACATAAACGTTTCCCTTTCTTGTCTTACACTAATTCAAACGCATGGCATCGAGATGTTTTTAAATATACAGATTCAGAAGCTAAATGTCCAATATGCAAAAAAGTACATACTCGTTTAGGTATATGGGGTGACTGGAGCTGTCTAGGTAAAAATGACCACTACTTTCTTAATTGTCCTTTCCGTATCGATCAAAAGAAAGTTATAATTGCTATACAGAGCTTACCGGAAAGTGTACCAAATAAAATCAGTAACTCGCCAATTCATCCAAACAAAAACCGCCTTTATCAATATGCCATCGAACATGGAATGGATCCCGAGAAATTTTCAGTCATTACTGAGGCTGAGAAAAATAGGTGGGCTATGGGATGCTTCTGTGAAGACTTGGAGAAAGATATACGCTTTTACCGTGATGGAATAAAAAGGCAGGAAGATAATAGAAAATATCATAAATTTTTAACAGATCAGGATAGGCTAATCGGAGAAGAATTATTACGTCGCAGTATACTAAAAAGTGGTTTAAGTACTGCATGGCTAGATGATCTGATGAAAGAATGGGAAGAAATCCATACTCAATTTGTACAAATTTTTAACCAGATATAGAAGTTTTCTACATATATCGGGACACATTCATTTTTTTTTCTAGCAAAGTGATCGGCACACGTGATTTTAATAATTTAGCTTTTCTGCAATTATTATATTATTTTATTATAACAAATATGATAAGTAATACTAATAATAAATCCGATCAAAGCGAAACATTTGCTCCTTTATATGAAGTGCTTTTATATAAGAAGAAGGATATAATAGCAATTCAAGAAAAACTCGGTATTATCAGTAATATAAATCAAACAGCAGTGACGGAGAGCAAGAAATCAAAAAATCTTGCTGTTTCATATGAATTATTGTTAAAATTAGTAGGAGATTTAATACTGATACAGGAGAAACTTGGTATAGATGTCAATCCTGTTCTAGAAGTGGAACTTAGAAGGGATAAAGCCTCTTCAGATAAACCAATTAGATTATTTGATTTGCTTTTATCTTTAGAAGATGATATAGTGGTAATTCAGGATAAACTCGGTATTATTGGTTATTCTAATCAAGAAAGGGCAGAAGAAGTTGATGAGAATGTAAGAGCACAACTACAAAAGCTTGAGGAATTTCACGGTCCATTAGAAGATGATCCAGGTGTAATTTTACCGAAATATGGTGAAATGGGGGTAAAGAAATTTCGGTTTACTGGAGAGGGACTTCCTCTATTTCCAAATCTTACTCCTCAACAATTCCACGAAATTTTTGTCAAAAAATCGGCTAGCGACAATCAGTGCCCATGTCTTGAACAGGTTAGCTAATCTACCTTCAGAAACATGATCTAATCAGCTTTATTACAAAGCCTATTTTTAGAGGAGCTGGTTTTATGACTTTTCGAGTCGCTTATGGACCTGCTACCTTCTTCGATTAATGGGATACTCATACCATCTATTACAATTTTAGCATGGTGGCTACGGGCTTCGGGAGAAAATTCAAAGCTTATTTTTGCTTTATGCATCCATAACCATTCTTGTCCTAACACCAGATCAAATGATGGATTTTTGCGAATTTGAAAGTCTATTACTTCGGTGGCATCTAAGCTTCGCCACTTTCCTTTATAACAAAATTGCAAATCTAAGCATTGCATTTCACCTATTACATCTCCATAGAGAATCTCAACAGGATCACAGATATGATGAATTCCATAATCTTCTTCAAGCTTATCGAACAGGCGCCTGCTAATAGTATTGTATTTAGATGTTGTATCAATTAATGCTTTGACTGGGAATTTTCCTTCTACGAGAGAATCAACGAACATGTTAAGTATATTTAATAATGTATATTATCACGAAAAAATAACTAATGTCTGATATATAATTATACATTCTCAAGATCGGAAGAGTCGGTTGCAGATTTGGATGCACAACCCTCTAAGCCAGCTGAAAAAATTAAATATGGCAGATGGGTAGGCCGACTTGCTTTCCTACATTAGGTAAATATAATTTATTAAACGAAAAATTAGTCACATGTCATCTCTCCCTCGAGGCTTATTATATCACCTATCCAGTTCAGCCCGTTGGTAATATCGATCTTTGGCTTGCTTCATAAATGATCCATCGGGTCGATAAAGCCACTTAATTACTGCGTTTTGGACGATTTTGGCTGAATCTATTCGTCTTCGATGCCATGAACGAAATATCCGCTGAATAGTTAATACTGCTTGTTTTCTGGAACACGGATAACAATATTGATGATATCTTAATTGAGTATCAACTGAAAATCTATACGCACGTCGGCATTTAATACATCGCCTGTACGGATTTTTTGGAGATATAGTGCAGGACACCTAGTCCCACAACTTTTTATTGGTCTTGTATATTCTTTAGTATACCAGAAATGGAAATGTAACACACAAAAACAAAACATGATTTTGAAGCTAAGACCTTTCTCCACAAAGCTACGATTTCATTTTGTTGATATGTCACATTAC